GAGTTTTATTTCCGACCCGGACAATTTTAGGGTTCTACACTTTTATGTCGTATCCTAATTATTAAATAAGTCTCGAGAGTTTTCTTATTTTCTTAAAACTACTTCCATATAAAAAATTAAATTTCAAAACATAATTATTTTTCTAATTCAATTAATTAGTTTAAAAATTATAAAATATTATTTATTTAAAAAATTAGGATGTCACAAATATCATTTATTAAATACATGTTTTTATTTTTAATCTTTAATAGAATACTCATCTTTTTTATTTTCACATTTTTTCCCCTTATCTTTCCACGTTTCTTTTTCACTGCATATTTCCTTGTTTAACTCTTTTAAACTTTTTCTATACTACTTTTTAAGATACACTGAACATCCATTTAATGCTTCATTCCTTTTCGCACATGCAAAAGAAGTCATATGGCACAGAAAGTCTCTCTAACTTTTGTGATGACTCTGAACTACATTATATAGGTAATTTTTGTGATTGATTTTTAAGCTTTTTAGCCAAAATAAATTAAAAATAAAATAAAATAACTGAAATAAATTAATTAAAAAACTAATTACCAAAATGAGTTATTTTTGCCATATAAGAGAGAAAGGATGCGAAAAACGTCATTACATGTAACATACATGTATAAGGGAAAACGTCACGCTGATAGACATTTTCTTTCCAAATTTCTTCAAATAGAGATATCACCATTCTAGACTTCTAGTAACATTGATTTTGCTCAAAAAACATTATTTTTGTAGACGTCTTGCAGATGGTGTTTTTTTTTTAAAACGTCATCACAAATAACGTCTTGTTCGTCTTGTTCTAGCCTGTGAAAGTGGGAAAATTGGCAGTAAGACGAGTCTGAGAACCTTGGCAATAAGACGACATTAGGATGACCATGATGTTGCACAACAAATTTATTCACAAACAACATAAATATAACTTAAAATTCTAAAATCATACAAACAATCATATCTTCTTCTTTTTTCTTTCTCTTCTCTTATTTTTTTTCTTTTTCTTCTTCCTTCTTTGCTCTTCACTCTCGTGTTCTCCCTCAGCAATATGGCTCTCCCCCTCCCCCTGACCCTCTTTTAAAGTGAACAACAAAATCTTCATCTTATCAAGCCCAACAGATGCAACGTTGAAGGGACTGGTGCATGTGGCAAAGAAGTCGATCGTCAACCCAGGTAATAATTTCTTTGAGTTTTTGGTCTAACCCGCTTGCAACCATCTCTATTTCAATGCATGCTCATGTCTCTCCGTAGGAAAATGCTTAATCCTCCGAAATCAAAATCTGAAATATCCTCGAAATCATTAAAAAATTATTATTTTTTAATAAGTTTATTATAAAATAATTATTATTATTTTTTAATAAGTTTATTATAAAATAATTATTTTATAATAAATTTATTAAAAAATAATAAATTTTTTTTTAATGATTCGGATGAAATTTCGGCTTTCGTTCGGAGGTTGTAGCAATGTTCCTCTCTATTACAATTTACAATGTGTCTCTCTGTTCCACTACATGCTATCTCTCATGTGTCAAATCGTGCAGTGAAGCATGCAAAACGTCACTCAGGTTGCGTTTTATGCAACACTCCTCAAGTAGTGAAGTCGTCAACATTGTTGACTTTTTCTTATGTAACATGTTTCTGTACTTTTTATGTGGTATGGGGCACTTTTCAGAGGTCACTTTCCATAACGTCTTCTACATCATAGAAGAAATTGTTTATTTTGATAATTAATTTTTTATTAATTTATTTCAGTAATTTTATATATTTATTTTTTTTTATTCTTGTCAAAAAGCCTGATTCTTAACTAAACAATGACGCTTTCACGATATATTTTAAAATAGCATTATTTAATACTTGATTGATAGGTTTTTGTTTTTTTTGTTACTAATTTAATATCGCCCTTCCTCAAAACTAAAATCAATTTAAAATATTAAAATGTTAACAATCTATATTCGTCTGTGAATTGACGAATCCTTTTCCCACCAATTCCACCTGCCATCTTCTGTGGGTCAATTCATCTGAGAAGCAAAAGAGAGCTTCGTCACAGTAACAGTTGCATGGGTCTCAGCTTCTCCTCTGCCTCAGCACCTCACTCCTCTACCCCCAACCTCTCTCAATGTTCAGGCAAGTCTTCAACTTTTGTCCACCCTTTCTAAATTCACCCCAACGCGCAACATGGGTCGTTCCCGGTTTCCTCGAATTCGATTTCTTCCATGATGGTTTCGATTCCTCTGTTTTCAGGTTCATCAAGCACTGAAGACCGAATTCTGAAATGGCCGAACATGAAGGTGTTCAGTTACGAGGAGCTCAAATCTGCAACAAACAATTTTAGCCCTGACACAGTGATCGGTGAGGGTGGTTTTGGCCAAGTTTTCAAGGGATGGTTAAATGAGAAGACCCTCTCCCCTGCCAGACCCAACTCTGGTTTTGGAATGGCCGTTGCCATCAAAAAGTTGAACCCCGAAAGCACGCAAGGCTTTCAAGAGTGGCAGGTCATGTATAACAGACCTTAGCTTAACATTGTTACTGAAAACGTGCATATATTTTCACAATTAAACAATAATGTTAATGATTTTAACAAGTGAAAGACTAAGTTGAACAAATTTTAAAAAATAGAAAAACTAAAAGAGTAATGCCAAAACATAACTAGGCATTCTTTGGCTAAATGTTTATCATTCTGTCTTGTGGTTTTACTTGTCAATTGCATATTGTAGTGTAACCTTCAACACAATTAGAGTACCTTTCATGTGATAAAATCTACTGTTTGCACAAATTCAGTCTGGCTATCTGATTGTTTAAAATGATTTACTGTTGATTGGAAGATGCAGTCAGCAGTAAACTTTTTAGGAAATCTTACTCACCCCAACCTGATCAAGCTATTGGGTTACTGTTGGGATGACGATGAGCTTCTTCTTGTGTACGAGTTCATGCCTAAGGGAAGCTTAAACAATCATCTATTCAGAAGTATGAATTGAAGACAATAATAATAGTCAAGGAAAACTCCTTGTCACTAATTTGAGTTTAATTCATTTTCTTTGTCGTGTTTCTGAGCAGGAAATCGTAACTTACGAACACTTGATTGGAACACCAGGATTATGATAGCTATTGGTGCAGCTCGGGCACTAGCTTTCTTGCATGCCTCCGAAAAACAAGTCATATTTAGAGATTTCAAGTCCTCACATATACTCCTTGATAAGGTCAGTTACTTTTTTTGGTTGTTTTCTTTCGGTGGAACCAGTTACTTTTTGGTTAGTCTACCTTTTCCCTTGTTTCAATTCATGGAAGCAAAAGCAAATGTCATATCTAGTTGTGATGAAAAGACAGTTTATGCATTTTGACCCCATTAGCCAAACTCATTGGAAAGGTATGAAAACTTAGTCTGTTAATAGAATATCAACTGAAAAGTGCAATGTCTTTGTTGTCTTCGTCTCTTTTTTATATGCTGCCAATACTGGACCCATTGACTTGTTGAAGCATGTTACATGATGTTATGAATGCAAAATATTTTTGAAGTAACAAAAGTTGATATTTATTTAATGCTAATTTTCTCATATCATTTTGATGACCATTGTTTTGTGACTTTTAACCTACAGAACTACATTGCAAAAATCTCAGATTTTGGGTTGGCTAAGTTGGGGCCTGCTGGGGGACAATCACATGTTAGTACCAGGTTCATGGGCACGCTTGGTTATGCTGCTCCCGAATATATGGCGACAGGTAAATATATATCTGCAAATATGGCAATCAAATCAGCTTTAAATGTATGTTTTGACTTTATTATTATCTCACAAGGAAAAATGTGAGCCAAGATTACATGCTTTGCAAGTAAGAAGGAAATGGAAGCAAAGTAAAGGAAAAAACAAAAGATCTGTTTGATTTGAGAAAACGTTTTTCATCTTCATTTCCTGTTTCCATAAATAATTACTAAAATGCCATACCATATGGTTTCTTGATTTGAAATACTTGTACAAGAAACAGTTAAAAACAAGATTTGTGTTGTTTTCACTCTTTCTGAAAATAGGAAACAGAGTGAAAACAAAGCAACATATTGACTTTTTTGTAATTATCAATAAAAACAGGAAATGAAATCAGACAGTTTTCTTAAACCAAGCTGGCCTTACTACAAAAAGCAATGATTTATGGAAGATGAAGTTTGGGGAATCAAGACTAAAATAAGGAGTACTGTAGTTTAATCCTTTGACCCACCAAAAACTAACATGGCTTTGAAATGTATCATTATTCAACAGGGCACTTGTATGTGAAGAGTGATGTGTATGGATTTGGTGTAGTGCTGCTAGAAATGCTGACAGGCATGCTGGCACTTGACACAGATCGGCCAACAGGCAAGCACAACCTAGTTAAATGGAGAGAGGCTTTTCTTTTCTCCAAAAGAAATTTGAAAACCATTATGGATGCTAACATGGAAGGTCAATATTCACCCAAGGCAGCATGGCGAGCAGCACGACTTACTCTAAAATGCCTAGAACCTCACCCTTACAACCGTCCTTCTATGAAAGATGTTGTTAAGGAATTGGAAGCCATTGAAGCTATCCATGAAAAATGGGTGTTTAGTTATGCGGAGCTGAAATCTGCAACAACGAATTTTAGTCATGTGGTTGGTGAAGGTGGTTTTGGCATAGTTTACAGGGGATGGCTGGATGACAAGACCTTATTCCCTGTCAGGGAACGTTTTCGAAAGGTTGTTGCAATAAAAGACCTTCGCCGAACACTGGGCAGCATGCAAGGGAATTTAGAGTGGCAGGTCATGTACAACAGACCTTAGCCTAACATTTATGGTGAAAACATGCATATATTTTCATAATTAAAGAATCATATAAAAAAATTAATAATAAAAAGAATAAAAGAGTAATACCAAAACATAACTAGGCATTTTTTTTGGCTAAATGTTTATCATTTTATCATGTGCTGTTACTTATCATACTGCGTTTAATATTTTTGTGTAACCTTCAACACAATTAGAGTACCTTCCATGTGATAAATCCTACTTTTTGAACAAATTCAGTATAGCTAGCTATCTGATTATTAAACATAATTTTCCGTTGATTGTAAAATGCAGTCAGAACTATTCTTTTTAGGAATGCTTTCTCACCCCAACCTGGTCAACCTATTGGGTTACTGCAGGGATGGTAAGTTTCTTGTGTACGAGTTCATGCCTAAGGGAAGCTTACACTATCAGCTATTCAGAAGTAAGAATTAATGACAATAAAAATAGTCAAGGAAAACTCCATGTCACAAATTTAATTCAATTTCATTGTTGTGTTTCTGAGCAGGAAATTCTAACTTGGAACCACTTTCATGGAACACCAGGCTTAAAATAGCTATTGGTGCAGCTCGGGCTCTAGCTTTCTTGCACGCCTCTGAAAAACAAGCCATGTACAGAGATTTCAAGGCTTCACATATACTACTCGATGGGGTCAGTTTCTTTTGTTGGTTGATTTCTTCCAATGGAAGCAGTTATGTTTTTGTTAGGTCTTTTTCCTTTGTTTCAAATTTCAATTGATGGAAGCTAAAGCAAATGTAATGAGTTTGCTTGCATATAAGCTTAGAAGAGCTTGAGAGTTTATCTAATGAAAATATGGCTTTATTTTTGGTAGAGAAACTTTCAAAATAGCTTGTATCTAAATAGGCTCATTATCAAATTAGGATGAATAGACAGTTTATGAAATTTGACCCCATTAACCAAGTGCAATGTATTTGTTCTCCTTGTCTCTTTTTTAAGTGTTGTCAATACAGGACCCATTGACTAGTTTAAGCATGTTACATGATGTTATTAATGCAAAATATTTTTTAAGTAACAAAAATTTATATTTATTTAATGCTAAATTTCTCATCATTTTGAAGACCGATTATTTTGTCCTACAGAATTACAATGCAAAAATCTCAGATTTTGGCTTGGTTAAATTGGGGACTTTTGAAGGACAATCACACGTAAGTACCAGAATCTTGGGCACGTATGGTTACGTTGCTCCAGAATATATGGCAACAGGTAAATAATATATCTGCACATAATTGACAATTAAATCAGCTTTAAATGTATGGTTTGACTTTATTAATTACTCACCAGGCATAATACGAGCCAAGTTTAGATTCTATGCCAAGTAAGAAGGAAATGAAAGTACAGAAAAATTTTCATTATTACTGAAAATAAGAAATTAAGTGAAAAAGGACCTTAATGAAAACAAACCTTTATTAATTTTGAACCAAAGTAGAAAATTTCCTTAAAGATAAGCAATAGTGTAGACTAATACTTTGACCATGCACAAACTAAAACGTCTTTGAATTGTTTAAATATTTCAACAGGGCACTTGTCTGTGAAAAGTGATGTTTATGGGTTTGGTGTAGTGCTGCTTGAAATGCTGACAGGCATGAGGGCAATTGACACAAATCGTCCAACAGGGCAGCAAAATCTAGTTGAATGGACCAAGCCTCTTCTTTCTTCCAAGAAAAAGTTGAAAACAATTATGGATGCTAAAAGAGAGGGTCAATATTCACCCAAGGCAGCAATGCAAGCAGCACAACTTACTCTAAAATGCCTACAACCTCGTCCTATCCAACGTCCTTCTATGCAAAATGTACTCGAGGAATTGGTAGCCATTGAAGCCATCCATCCATAAAAACTCCAAGTACTCTGAAACCAACAATTCTCACCATCCTCCTCAGCACTGTGTTGTAAGAGTAATCTGGTCTAAAGAATAAATTGTTTGATCGGTCGCTTAAAATGTGATTTTGTTCCCCTTTTTACTAGTGCTGGTTGGAGGGGAGAAAATTTCACAAGGCTTTTATATGTATTTTTTTTTTTTTTTTTTTTTTTGAATTATTCACGTTTTTATGAAGTGGGAAAGTATTTTGCACGTTAGGTAAGGGAACGTTGTTTTGATGCTAACCTGTCACTTTAATAGGACTTCTTTTTCTTAAAAAAAAAAATAGATCGTTCAATAACTTATGTTTTACATTAAATTTTAAGGATTAAACTATTAAATTTAAAAGTTCTTAATATATAAATTAAGTTTGAAATTTTTTTTAAATTTTAAAAATTATTTGATATTTCGTTTCATTAATTTAAATTTATGGATAATTATAAAATTATTTTATATATTGATTTGAATTAATGAGGTGAAGTAATAAATGGTTTTGAAAATTTTTAAAAATTTGAAGACTTGGTTTGTGCATTAAGAATTTTAAATTCAATGGTTGAATCCTTGAAATTTAATTTTGAACATTAGTTATTGAATGAAATAATTCTAAATAAATTTTCTCTTAAAGTAAACAGATTTATCGTTTCTTTATATATTTTATTGTGCACACAACAAATATATAATTATAAATGTATTGTAGTTATAAATATTAGCATAAAAAGTACTCCGTGCTTGCATGCATTATAAAAAAATAAATATAAAATTAATTAAGATTTAATAATAATTTATAATTAGTAATAGAAAGTTTTGAACAATTTTTAGATAGTTATTAAAAATAAAATATTATATAATATAAAAGTTAGAAGGATAAAATTGTGAAATTTATATACACAAAAAGAGGATATACCACTTATTATTAGTATAGATTAATATTGAAAAAGATACAAAAGTTTATTAGTCTTGCATAATTATATTTAATATAATTAAAATATTTCTAGAACAATATAATTAGAATTGGGGGTAGATATTGGTTAGATTGAGTTGAATTTTAAATATATCTATATTCAAATTGAATAACTTTAATTAATTAGAATTGATTTGAAATTTTTATTATTTTCTCTTTAATCTCAATCAGTTCAATTAAATTATATTTATATTGGTTTGGCTAAATAACATTCCCCACTCTCCCTTCTTTAAAAAAGAAAAAGAAGAATGTGATATTTTTCATTAAGACATTCAATGATTCAAATATAACTACAAAAAAAATATCACTCAAATGAAAAATATATTAAACAAATAAAAAATTAAATTATTGAATTATGAGTGAATTGAAAGTGATAATTCAACTCAACTCAATTTAAATCCATTTGTCTCACAAGTTAAATAAGTTGATATAGAATTGAACCAAGACCCATATAACTTTTTCCCCTTAAGCCCAACCTAGAATCTGTGATAAGAGTGATTTGTCTCATAAATTAAGTAAGTTGGATAAGAATTGAACAAAGATTGATACACTTTTTTTTTTTTCTATCTCAAACCTAATATGTGATAAGGGTGAATTGGCTCACCTAAGGATGGCAATGGGGCCCATGGGGGGTAATAGTAAATCCGTCCCCGCCCCGCTGTATGAAAATTGGTCCCATACCCACCCCATATCCACGCGGGTATCCATGAATTTCTTAAATACTCACGGATAACCATGAATATTTATAAAGTTTTAAGAAATTAAAACAACTATATTACAAATAATTTTAAATTTATATTTAATGTCAATGAAATATTAAAAATAAAAATTCAATGTTAATTTTGAATTTGTATTTAGCTTTAATTCGGTTGAAATAATAATAAAAATGTAAGATAATCAATAATTTAAAATACATCAATCTTACACAAGTAAGGGAAAGTCTCATATCACAAAGTTATAATAATTAAATCTCATAATTCCAAACATAAATAAACAACTTAAAATACATAAATCTTATCGGTCCAATCAAAGCTAGAAAATTAATCAAATTATATCCAACATAATTCTATGGAAAGAAAATAAGATGAGAGTGTAGTTTTAGGGTTATGTGGTATAAGGATAATTAGGATATTTAATAAATATTATTAAACGGGTATCCACGAGTATGGATATCATCATACTTGCCCCTGCCCCATTTATAAACGGGTAAAAAACTATTCGTCCCTATTATCCGCGGGTATCTAATTAGCCTATCCATTTATTATCCGTAGCAGATTTTAGCCACAAATACCCGCAGGGCGGATAATTTTGCCATCCCTAAGCTCACCCAATTTTCACTCCTTATGACACATCAATCCAAAATTCAACTTCGCACTCTAATATGACTTATGACACCTCTAATTATTCTCTCATTAGATATGTCCAAATTCATTGTTGTGCATGTTATATTTTCTCCTTTTTAATTGCTTTACCGCAAGCATTTTTATTTATTTATTTTCATCAGGCGAGATTTAGAGAAAGATTATTAAAAAAATATTTTATGGGGAGTTGTTTTGAAAAAGAAAATCCTTTTCCTTTTTCTTTAATAAATAAACTAGAAAAAATGTTGTACCTGCCTGAGGGTACACTCGTAATCTTCAGGGGAATATGAGGACCGAACGAGAGCTTTAGGTGGATTCTTCGGAGGGGGAGGTACCTGCAAAAGATACTCCGATGCTTAAGTCAGTGTGGGCACGATTTTCTAGGGTAATGAAATGAACCGTCATACCTTGTTACGTGTGACCTATTTATAGCATCTGACATGGGCCTGAGCGTGATGGGCCCTCTCAGATATTTACCAAATTAGGTAATACGGTACTAATTGGTCGTTTAGGCTTTAATCATGTACTTACCTTTCTTGACTGTGATTACTTGTTATGACTTGCCTAACCCTTCAGCAAGAGGCCGAGCCGTCTAATCAATACTAGTCGGAATGGCAAATGACCGAACCGTCCAGTCCGTACACGGCAGCCTGTATACTTCCGGTATGTTCTATGTCGGCACGGCACCTGACCGAGCCGACTCGATGAATGATGATGGTCCATATTTGCATTAACCAGACTGATGTCGGTTCTCGGCCTCATGCCGAGCCGACGTTGATGATGATGCTTGTACGTGGCTATGCATGGGTGTCTGACGAAATGGCACGTGTTGGCCCACGTGACCGATACGGTCTCTCCGGTACAAATGTTAATGAAATTATCGAAAGTAAATTCGAACTAGGAAAACGATAACATATTATTTTTGGAAAAAAAAAATATCATATTAGGATCTAAATTAAGAATTTGTAAAACAAATTTATGAAAATATAAATTAACAGTTACATTAATCCAAAATTAAATTAAAAGTGTAATTAAAATATTAATATGCAAACACTAAAATAATAATAATAAATATTTAAATTATTCTCTCGTCACGCACCACGTCTACCCGCTAGACAACATCGTCGAGACGTCGCCTCCACTCGCCGCGATGGAGAACGTTGGAGAGATTGGCCAGGAGAGACCTCCTGTCGAACCACAAGATAGGGGAGGAGGGTGTAGTTGGGGAAAAGCCTCATTCAAGGAGTAAACGGATTTTGTGGCCACAATTCTTTGCTCACCCGACCACAATTCTTTGCTCATGATTGGATTTGATATCCATGAATCATTTTCGTATTGAATAAGAGGAAGGAGATAGGCTTCGTCCGAAGTGTTTTGTGGAGGAGAATATTGTCCAAGAGTTATGGAAGCCGCGGGTGGATGTGGTATTTGTGAAACTCCTAGGAAAACCACTAGGATTCAAAACAATGAAGGAGAAACTGAAGAGCACTTGGAAGTTGGGAGGAGAGTTTGATTTGATAGATGTAAGGAATGGTTTCTTCATAGTGAAATTTGATCATGCGGTCGACAAAAGTAAGGTTGTTGAAAATGATCCATGGATGATCTTTGATCATTATTTATCGATTAGACCATGGATGCCTGATTTTGTTTCTTCAGAGGCTCGTATTGAGAGAACCATGGTTTGGGTTCGCTTTCCAAATCTTGGATTGGAATATTATGACGAAAGTATTTTGCCGGCTCTAACATCTACTGTTGGGAAACCTTTAAAAGTGGACACTATGACGATGGATGTTGTTCGAGGACGTTTTGCTCAAGTTTGTGCAGAATTGGAACTCGCCCGTCTAGTGGTTGGTAAAGTTTGGTTCCGTAACCATTGGTTTAAGGTGGAATATGAGGGCCTCCATCTCCTGTGTTCGAAATGTAGGTGTTATGGCCATTTATCTAGAGCAGGTGAGGACTAATGGCTTAGCTCACCATGAAGCCATGGCGGAGGGCGGCGGAGAGGGATCCAAAGTTCAAGTTGAAGGCACAGTAGGCAAGCATGCAAACCCTAGCCAATCTACTAACGTGATTCAAGGGATTCAGCTTCATGGTGATTGGCTAATGGTATTGCTCAATAAACGTGTGGTGAAGAGTAAAGAGAATTTAATGGGCGGTAATAAATTGTAGGAACAATAAAGGAGGAAAGAGAATAAATATATTTCATCCAAAAATAAATATGATGTTTTGAATGGTAATATGGGAGAAAAGTCAACAGAATCCAATCATGAGCAAAGAATTGTGGCCGGGTGAGCCAGATTTTGTATTTAATGCCGACAATACCAAAGTGTCGACCAGGAAGAAGCGTCAACGCAAAGATATGTTGTCTCCTTTGCCAAAGTATAATTTTGACAGTAAAATTAAAGTAGTGTTGGATCGTGTAGAGTCTAAATCCATTCCACAGTTGCCCATTTGAACGTGAAAATCACATGCCCATGCCGAAAGGAAATGACACTAATGCCCCCATAGTTAAATCACATGATCATGGTATCCTCACAGCTATGAATATTGAGGTGGTAGGTTCCAATCATTTCAGATTTGTAGATGAACCTGACCCCCCTGACATGCACTTTTTTTTGGGGTGTGTAGAAAGAGAGGACAAGGGAGTCATGACTGATGGATCATCACATGATATTGAGGAGGAGGTAGAGATGGTAATGAAGACTCTTGGAATGAGAATTTAATGGGTATACCCTGTGGGGTCCCTTTTATCTTACTTATGTTATCTATGTTACTGTTAGACATTAAGATCCTGGCTTGGAATGTGCGTGGAGCA